TTTGCATACACAAACACCTTCTAAATTTAAGCCCCACCCCCTAATTTGCATACAGACCCCCACTCGGGCCCCGCCCCTCCACAACACCTCATTTGCATATCAAAGCCACTCCCACTGCCAATAATCCACCCCGGCTCAACACCCAGCCATCATTTGCATATCAAGCCCCTCCCACTGTAAAATACGGCCCCTCATTTGCATACGCAAACCCCTCCCACTCCAATAACCCACCCCAATTCAGACTGAACGCCCTAATTTGCATACTGGAGCCCCGCCCACTCACGATAACCAACCCCGACTCAATCTGCACCCCCTCATTTGCATACCCAAACCCCTCTTAACACCTAATTTGCATATCCAAACCGCTCCCACTCCAGTAAACCACCCGAACTCAAACCCCACGCCCTCATTTGCATACCCAAGCCCCTCCCACCTCCTAATTTGCATACCAGAATCCCTCCCACTCCCAATACCCCACCTTAACTCAAGCCCCGCCCCTCATTTGCATACCCAGTCCCCTCCCTTTTCCAATAATCCACCTCTATTAAAGCCCCACCCCTTAATTTGCATATTTAAAACCCTCCCCCTCCCAATAACCCACCCCAGCTCAAGCTCCACCCCCTCATTTGCATGCTGGAACACCTCCCACTCCCAATAACCAACCCCAATTGAAGCCCCACCCCCTCATTTGCATACCCAACCCCCTTTCACTTTATTAACCCACTTTAACTCAAGCTCCGCCCCTCATTTGCATACACAAACCCCTCCCATTCCCCCATAGCCCTCCCCATTTAAGCCCCGCCCCCTCATTTGCATACTCACACCCCTCCAACATCCTAATTTGCATATTCAAATGCCTCCCACTCCCTATAACCCACCTCAATTGCAACCACACCCTCTCATTTGCATACCCAAACCCCTCCCACTCCCCCAAACCCCTCCCAACTCAATCCCCACCCCTCATTTGCATACTCAAACCCCTCCAACATCCTAATTTGCATATTTGAATGCCTCCCACTCCCTATAACCCACCATTTCAATCACACCCCCTCATTTGCATACCCAAACCCCTCCCACTCCCCCACACCCCTCCCCATTTAAGCCTCAGTCCCTCATTTGCATACACAAACCCCTCCCACTCCCCCATACCCCTCCCCATTTAAGCCCCGCCCCCTCATTTGCATACCCAAACCCCTCCCACTCCCCCCAAACCCCTCCCAACTCAAGCCCCGCCCCCTCCCCGAGGCCACGCCCACTCACACAGCACCGCAATCTTCCTCTTGAATCCCCTGGGCGTGGCCTGGCGAGAGACGGGGGCGGGGCCAAAGCAGGGAGGAGGGGGGAGGGGCATGGGAAAGGGCGTGACGTCAGCAAAAAAGGGGCGGAGCTTCAAGCTCCGCCCCCCGGTTTTTTTTTCCCCCGCCCTTTCCAAGCCACGCCCACCCCCCCCTTTCACAAAGCCCCTCCCACACTTCCATATTTGGCGCTTAGGGGGCGGAGACTTCCGGGGAGGGGGCGGAGACGTCCGGGGAGGGGGCGGAGACTTCCGGGGAGGGGGCGTGTCCGGCGGCTGCCCCACGAGTGAAGCTTCGGGAGGGGGAGGGGGGGAAGGTCTTAAAATCCATTTTCTGCCCCAAAAATCCGAGTTTTGGCGTCTTAAAAGTTCCTTTTTCTGCCCCAAAATGAAGTTGGGGGGTCCCGAAGTTCCTTTTTTTGCCCCAAAAGTGGAAATTTCGGGGTCTCAAAGTTCCTTTTTTTTGCCCCAAAAGCGGAAATTTCGGGGTCTCAAAGTTCCTTTTTTTTGCCCCAAAAGTGGAAATTTCGGGGTCTCGAAGTCGATTTTTCTGCCCCACAAGTGAAGTTTGGGGTTTAAAAGTCGCTTTTCTGCCCCACAAGTGGGGTTGGGGGTCACTGGAGTTCATTTCCTGCCCCACAAGTGGAAATTTGGGGGTCTCAAAGTTCCATCCTCCGCCCCACAAGTGGAACTTGGGGGTCGCTGCAATCCGTTCCTGCCCCATAGATGAAGTTTCGGGGGGTCTCAAGGTCCATTCTCTGCCCCACAAGTGGAAATTTGGGGTCGTTGGAGTCGATTTTCTGCCCCACAAGTGGAGTTGGGGGTCGCTGGAATCCGTTCCTGCCCCACAAGTGGAAATTTCGGGGGTCCCAAATCCATTCCTGCCCCACAAGTGCAGTTTGGGGTCACCGGAGTCGATTTCCTGCCCCACAAGTGGAAATTTGGGGGTCTCACCGTCGATTTCCTGCCCCACAAGTGGAGCTCGGGATCTCCAAGTTCCATTTATGCCCCATAAGTGACATTTTGGGGTCTTAAATCTCATTTTCTGCCCCACAAGTGGAACTTGGGGGTCGCTGGAATCCGTTTCTGCCCCATAGATTGAATTTCAGGGGTTCAAGTTCCTTTTCTGCCCCACAAGTGCAGTTTGGGGGTCTCCAAGTCCATTTTCTGCCCCACAAGTGGAACTTGGGGGTCGCTGGAATCCGTTTCTGCCCCATAGATGAAGTTTCGGGGTCTCCAAGTCCATTTTCTGCCCCACAAGTGGAACTTGGGGGTCGCTGGAATCCGTTTCTGCCCCATAGATGAAAATTCAGGGGTCCAAGCTCCATTTTCCGCCCCACAAGTGACACTTGGGGGTCACTGGAATCATTTTCTGCCCCACAAGTGGAACTTGGGGGTCGCTGGAATCCGTTTCTGCCCCATAGATGAAAATTCAGGGGTCCAAGCTCCATTTTCTGCCCCACAAGTGCAACTTGGGGGTCTCAGGTTCCGTTCTCTGCCCCACAAGTGGAAATTCGGGGTCTGAGGATCCATTTTCTGCCCCATAGATGAAAATTCGGGGGTCCAAGCTCCATTTTCCGCCCCACAAGTGACACTTGGGGGTCACTGGAATCATTTTCTGCCCCACAAGTGACACTTGGGGGTCTCCAGGTGCCCCACAAGTGAATCTTGGGGTCTCCAGTTCCATTCTCTGCCCCATAGATGAAAATTCAGGGGTCCAAGCTCCATTTTCTGCCCCACAAGTGCAACTTGGGGGTCTCAGGTTCCGTTCTCTGCCCCTACAAGTGAAACTGGGGGGCCTCCAGCTGCCCCACAAGTGAATTTTGGGGGTCTCCAAGTCCATTTCCTGCCCCATAAGTGAAACTTGGGGGTCTCGGGTTCCGTCTCTGCCCCACAAGTGGAACCTGGGGGTCTCAGGTTCCGTTTCTGCCCCACAAGTGAAACTTGGGGGTCTCAGGCTCCGTTTCTGCCCCACAAGTGGAACTTGGGGGTCTCCAGCTGCCCCACAAGTGAATTTTGGGGGTCCAAGCTCCATTTCCTGCCCCATAAGTGAAACTTGGGGGTCTCCAGTTCCATTCTCTGCCCCATAGATGGAATTTTTGGGGGTCCAAGCTCCGTTCTCTGCCCCACAAGTGAAACTTGGGGGTCTCAAGGTCCATTTCTGCCCCACAAGTGGAACTTGGGGGTTTCAAGGTCCATTTTCTGCCCCACAAGTGAAACTTGGGGGTCTCAAGTTCCGTTTCTGCCCCACAAGTGAAACTTGGGGGTCTCCAAGTCCATTTCCTGCCCCACAAGTGAAACTTGGGGGTCTCAGGTTCCGTTCTCTGCCCCACAAGTGAATTTTGGGGTCTCCAGCTGCCCCACAAATGGAACTTGGGGGTCTCCAAGTCCATTTCCTGCCCCACAAGTGGAACTTGGGGGTCTCAGGTTCCATTTCTGCCCCACAAGTGAAACTTGGGGGTCTCAGGTTCCGTTTCTGCCCCACAAGTGAATTTTGGGCGTCTCAGGTTCCGTTCTCTGCCCCATAAGTGAAACTTGGGGGTCTGAGGTTCCATTTTCCGCCCCATAAGTGGAACTTGGGGGTCTCAGGCTCCGTTCTCTGCCCCACAAGTGAAACTTGGGGGTCTCAGGCTCCGTTTCTGCCCCACAAGTGAAACTTGGGGGTCTCAGGCTCCGTTTCTGCCCCACAAGTGAATTTTGGGCGTCTCAGGTTCCATTCTCTGCCCCACAAGCGGAACTTGGGGGTCACTGAAGTCGATTCCTGCCCCACAAGTGAATTTTGGGGTCTCCAGCTGCCCCCCAAGTGAATTTTGGGGGTCTCCAAGTCCATTTCCTGCCCCACAAGTGGAACTTGGGGGTCTCCAGGTCCATTCTCTGCCCCACAAGTGGAACTTGGGGGTCTCAGGTTCCGTTTCTGCCCCACAAGTGGAATTTTGGGGTCTCCAGCTGCCCCACAAGTGAATTTTGGGGGTTTCCAATTCCATTCTTTGCCCCACAAGTGGAACTTGGGGGTCTCAGGTTCCGTCTCTGCCCCACAAGTGAATTTTGGGGGTTTCCAATTCCATTCTTTGCCCCACAAGTGGAACTTGGGGGTCTCAGGTTCCGTCTCTGCCCCACAAGTGAATTTTGGGGGTTTCCAATTCCATTCTTTGCCCCACAAGTGGAACTTGGGGGTCTCAGGTTCCGTCTCTGCCCCACAAGTGAATTTTGGGGGTTTCCAATTCCATTCTTTGCCCCACAAGTGGAACTTGGGGGTCTCAGGTTCCGTCTCTGCCCCACAAGTGAATTTTGGGGGTTTCCAATTCCATTCTTTGCCCCACAAGTGGAACTTGGGGGTCTCAGGTTCCGTCTCTGCCCCACAAGTGAATTTTGGGGGTTTCCAATTCCATTCTTTGCCCCACAAGTGGAACTTGGGGGTCTCAGGTTCCGTCTCTGCCCCACAAGTGAATTTTGGGGGTTTCCAATTCCATTCTTTGCCCCACAAGTGGAACTTGGGGGTCTCAGGTTCCGTCTCTGCCCCACAAGTGAATTTTGGGGGTTTCCAATTCCATTCTTTGCCCCACAAGTGGAACTTGGGGGTCTCAGGTTCCGTCTCTGCCCCACAAGTGAATTTTGGGGGTTTCCAATTCCATTCTTTGCCCCACAAGTGGAACTTGGGGGTCTCAGGTTCCGTCTCTGCCCCACAAGTGAATTTTGGGGGTTTCCAATTCCATTCTTTGCCCCACAAGTGGAACTTGGGGGTCTCAGGTTCCGTCTCTGCCCCACAAGTGGGGTTTGGGTTAAAAATCCCAAATTTTGGGCAAAAATTCCCGATTTTTGGGGGGAAAATCCCAATTTTTGGGGAAAAAATTCCCAAATTTTGAGGGGAAATCCCAATTTTTGGGGGTAAAATTCCCATTTTTGGGGGTAAAATCCCGATTTTTGGGGGTCCCAGATCTGTGGGGCTGCCCCACAAGTGGGGTTTGGGTTAAAAATCCCAAATTTTGGGCAAAAATTCCCAATTTTTGGGGGGAAAATCCCAATTTTTGGGTAAAAAATTCCCGAATTTTGGGGGGAAATTCTGATTTTTGGGGGGAAAATTCCGATTTTTGGGGGTCCCAAATCTATGGGGCAGCCCCACAAGTGGGGTTTGGGTTAAAAATCCCAAATTTTGGGTCAAAATCTCAATTTTTGGGGGAAAAACCCAGTTTTTGGGGTAAAATCCCAATTTTTGGGTAAAAAATTCCCGAATTTGGGGGGAAAATCCCGATTTTTGGGGGTCCCAAATCTATGGGGCAGCCCCACAAGTGGATTTTGGGTTAAAAATCCCAAATTTTGGGTCAAAATCTCAATTTTTGGGGGAAAATCCCCAAATTTTTGGGTAAAAATGCCAATTTTTTGATAGAAAAATCCCAATTTTTGGGTAAAAATTCCCAAATTTTGGGGTTAAAATCCCGATTTTGGGTTAAAAATCCCCGATTTTGGGTAAAAATCCCGAATTTTTGTGGCCAAAAATTGCAATTTTTACCTAAAAAACCCAGATTTTGGGGTTTAAAAGCCTTGATTTTGGTAAAGAAAACCCAAATTTTGGGCTAAAACCCCAAATTTTAGGTCAAAATCCTCAATTTTGGGCAAAAAACCCCAAATTTTGAGTCAAAAACCCAAATTTTTGATCAAAAACCCCAATTTTTGATCAAAAAAGCCCAAATTTTGCTCAAAAAAACCCAATTTTTGGGTCAAAAACCCCCAAATTTGGGTCAAAATCCCCCAATTTTTGGGTTAAAAACCCCAAATCGTCATCAAAAAACCCAAAATTTGGCTCAAAAAACTCCAATTTTTGGTCAAAAACCCCCAAATTTGGGTCAAAACCCCCAATTTTCAATCAAAAAACCCCAAATTTGGGTCAAAAACCCCAATTTTGGGTCAAACCCCCAATTTTTGGGTTAAAAAAACTTCAATTTTGGGTCAAAACCCACAATTTTTAATCAAAACCCCCAATTTTTAATCAAAAAAACCCAAATTTGGCTCAAAAAACCCCAATTTTTTGGTCAAAAATCCCAAATTTTTGATCAAAAACCCCATTTTTGGGTCAAAACGCCCAATTTTTGGCTCAAAAACCCCAATTTTGATCAAAACCCCCAATTTTTGGCTCAAAAACCCCAAATTTTTGATCAAAAACCCCAATTTTTGACCAAAAACCCCCAATTTTTGGTTCAAAAATCCCAGTTTTTAATCAAAACCCCCAATTTTTGGCTCAAAAACCCCAAATTTTTGATCAAAAACCCCAATTTTTGACCAAAAACCCCCAATTTTTGGTTCAAAAATCCCAGTTTTTAATCAAAACCCCCAATTTTTGGCTCAAAAACCCCAAATTTTTGATCAAAAACCCCAATTTTTGACCAAAAACCCCCAATTTTTGGTTCAAAAATCCCAGTTTTTAATCAAAACCCCCAATTTTTGGCTCAAAAACCCCAAATTTTTGATCAAAAACCCCAATTTTTGACCAAAAACCCCCAATTTTTGGTTCAAAAATCCCAGTTTTTAATCAAAACCCCCAATTTTTGGCTCAAAACCCCCAATTTTGATCAAAACCCCAATTTTTGGCTCAAAACCCCCAATTTTTGGCTCAAAAACCCCAATTTTTGGGTCAAAAACCCCAATTTTTAATCAAAACCCCCAATTTTTGGGTCAAAAACCCCCAATTTTTAATCAAAAACCCCCAATTTTTAATCAAAACCCCCAATTTTGATCAAAACCCCCAATTTTTGGCTCCAAACCCCCAATTTTTGCCTCCTTCCCCCCCGTTTTTGGGCACAAATCCCGGG